CTAAACAGGTTGTAAGCGTGCTTTTTTTCTGGTCTTTTATGAAAGTCTTCACAGGGCTGGAAAAAGAGCAGCACAGTTTGTCTCGTCCAGCCTCCCAGCACTGAGCCCTCTGTGTACGCGGGCTGTAATAACATCGCTGTTGCACTGCAGCTACCTGGATGACTTAATTCTGTGTAAACCTCCAGCGGCTTATGAGGAAATGAGGAAAGTAGGCTGCATTTCACTTTTTATTAATCCGCAGAGTCCACATTTCACGCTTATGGACAGGGGAGAAGATAAATAGGACGCTTTTTGAAGACAGGAGATAATAAGTTAGAGGTTAATATAAAACTGGACAGATCACAACAGAGCAGGACGAGACAATGGCTCTTTTGTCCCTCAGCTTGCCCTCGTTTTAACTTCGTACCTCCTCACTTTGCTGCTGAACTCGCCTCCTCTCTTTTTCTCTGTGCACCGACGGCTTTATCTCCTCCCGGTGAAACCGTTGATGCGAGTCTGCTTCCCGTCCGCGCGTCACATTCCTCGGATCGGACAAAAAAACTCCACCCAAACCTCCCCCCCGTCTCCAGCTGCGTGCACCCTCCACCGCCGATCGGCAAACAGAGCGGACTCTGCGCGGACTCCAGGCCCGGGTTCAGTGTCGTCCCGGCGGTGTGTGACCCTGCAGCAGCCGCTGTCACAATAAACGGAGACGGAAGCGTCGGGGCGACTCCTGCGAGGCAGGGCTTTCCCACCGGTGAGACTCCTCCCAGACCAGTTGATCGCTGGGAGTGGAAGACTATTGGAAGTTCTCTCCCCCGGGCACGTTTCAAAAGTAGCTTTTATGTCATGGCTGCAAAAGATTCAAGCAAAAGAGGAAGTTTCTCCAAACTCGCAAACTTTTTCCGTGCCCGTGCAGGAGTTTGGCCCAACTGGCGGTCCGTACAATGAATGCTTTATTCATCCTTGCACTTGACTCTTTGACATGTTTGTCCGATGTTTGCTCCTTTTTGCTTGCTCTCGTGTTGTTTGCACTGCGAAATGTTTTGTCAGTAAAACAACCGATTTGAAACTCTCCATCAATAAAATGCATCATATCAGGGATTTTAGTGCTACATTATAAACACAAGCAAGACTTTATTTAATTTAAACTACAACCTTAAACTCACTAACCTTTAAAAAAGAAATTATGTCCCTGAATGTAGTTATCTATGCTTTTTGCACATACACCAAAGAAGTGCAAAGAATCAGTGTTAATATTTTACCTTAAATCTGTAATTAGTAGTATTTTAATCAATGTTTCAGTTGTCTAGTCTTTAACTTTTACAGAGGAGAGATATACTTCATACTGCAGGTTGTTGCTGTTTAAATGGTAATAAAACCAGTGAACCTGTAATTGCAACGTGTACTACATCAGAGGACTATGACAGAGATGAGATCACCACCTGTTTAATCTTCTTTCCATCATATCTTAAAGACCTGATAGTGCCATATCACCACTGTGAAGGACTCCGCTCTAACTCGGTGGCTTACTTGTGGTATTTAAAAGTAGAATGGGAGGCAGAGCCTTCAGCTTTCAGGCCCCTTGTCTGTGGAACCAGCTCCCAGTTTGGATTCAAGAGACAGACACCCTCTCTGCTTTTAAGATTAGACCTAAAACTTGACTTTTGATAAAGTTTATAGTTAGGGCTACATCAGGTGACCTTGAATCCTCTCTTACTTATGCTGCAATAGGCCTAGGCTGCTGGGGGATTCCCATAATGCACTGAGTCTCCTTCACTCACCTCTTTTCACTCTGGCTCTCTTCCACAATGTGTCTTTGTCCTGTCTCCCTCCCCTCACTCCCAAACGGTGCGACAGATGGCTGCCCCTCCCCAAGCTTCATTCTGCTGGAGTCATAATGTAAAAGAGCAGACTCAACAAGCAGTGGCTTTTGATTAAGTAAACTTTATTGCAAAGAAACTGAGCAGATGAAGGACTGTAGCTGGGAAAGAAGAATGGCTTCAATGCAAATGGGATCACTGAGCTCTGTCAGGGGAGAAAATGAGAGTTAATTGGCTGTCCAGGAGGTGAATAAAGCAGGATGATGTGTAAATAGAACCAGATCAACTCATTTCTTGAGACTGTGAAGTGGGCAGACATCCTGAGAGTGGGTCACAGACATTTGGAGGTGCGAACGTGAACCACAACAACTTGAGTTGTTACCAGATTGCAGGTAAGTTGATTCTTGAGCCAGATGACACAAACGGAGGGAGCCTAACACTGACAGACACCAGCCTCAGGCAGAGAGACCAGAACTAGACCCGCAACTTCACCTGAGAAAATGTCAGAGAGAAAGGAAGAAGAAAGAGAAAAAAAACAAAAATTCAAAACCACCCAGGTCTGCTTAGTCAACAGCTAAGATCGCGGATACAAGCGGTGGAAATGAGCTTCCTCCGAAGGGTGGCTGGCCTCTCCCTTAGAGATAGGGTGAGAAGTTCGGCCATCCAGGAGGGGCTCAGAGTAGAACCGCTGCTCCTCCACATCTAAAGGAGCCAGCTGAGGTGGTTCAGACAAGGATGCTCCTGGGCGCCTCCTGGGGTTGGTGTTCCTGGCATGTCCCACTCCGGGCCCCGGGGCAGACCCAGGACACGCTGGAGAGATTATATCTCTTGGCTCCCCCGGATAAGCTGGAGGAGGTGGCTGGGGAGAGGGAGGTCTGGGCTTCTCTCCTTAGGCTGTTGCCCCAGCGACCCGGCCCCGGATAAAGCGGATGAAGATGGATGGATGGAATTATCTTGCATAAATAGGCTGTTGATTTTCTTTACTCATTTCAGGTATTAAAAGCAAAATAGCTGCATGTTTAATCATCTGGGAATTTACCCAGATTTATTTATTTATTTAGACAGAGATCTTGACCCACCCAATGTTCCACACAAAGTTACGCCGATGGTGCTTAGCTTCCAAGATAATACGAGATCGGCCGTGCTTAGGGTGGTGTGGCATTGGTTGCCTCACAGCAAAAAGGTCCTGGGCATGAATCCACCAGATGGCTGAGGTGTGTGTTGAGTTTGCATGTTCTCTCCGTGTCTGTGTGGGTTCTCTCCAGGTACTCCGGCTTTCTCAAGTGTGCATATTAGGTTAAGTGGCGACTATAACTGGCTGTAGGTGTGATAGTTGTCTCTCAACAGATTGAAGACATGTTCAGAGTGTACCCCACCTCTCACCCCGTGATAGCAGTGATAGGCTCCAGAAGGGAGACAAAATGGATGGACGTTTTTTTTAATATATAAAATTAAGTAAAGTGCTTTTAACTTATATTAAATGTTGCTCTTTTATTTTGTTATACCATGTTAAGTTCCTGTAACACATCGTAGTCCACTGCACATTAAAACCAAAAATTAAATTGATCCTGTTTCATTTCTTTGAGGCTAAATGTGAAGCATTTTTCAAGTAAAGACAATTCTGCTGTGTACAGCTTCATTTGCTTTGTCACGATCAGATGTTATGCTGCCGTGTTTAAGATCTTTCCTCGCTACCTTTAATGCATTTTACTGTAACTGCTAAAACCACAGCATCCCCTTAAATCGGGGATTCCTCATTTCACAAAAATACACCAAATGGGCAGTTAGGGAGAAGTTTGTCTTCTGCAAATGCTACATTGGCTGCTTTAAAGGAAAAAGTGGTTTCTTTGGAGAACGTGTTCCTGTCTGAATCCTTGTAAATGAGTCAGTGTGCTGTTTTTCTCCATGGCAAAACACCAGTGCTGACTCAGCAGACTTCCAGAGTTCTCATTTCTATAAGAGTCCACTGTAACAAAGTCGTTTGTGCAGGCACTACCAACAGTTTGTACCCCTCAAATCCCACACGGATCCAGGGTCATTTCTGCCAACCATCATCTGGAGATGAGGTTGGATTTGGATTTTTCTGAAACTTGAAAACATGAATTATTATTGTGATGTGTTTCCTCCTGATATAAAGTAAATGCATTCAGTTTCAGTCTTTTATCAGTTTAACTTTTCTTTTGTCTGTTTTTGTTTGCCTTTTCACTCTCTCTGGGCTCTCCACCTGTACTCGAATGCACCGGTAGTGATAACATTAAACAAAGTGCTGTGCAGGTAGAAATGTGTGTGTGTGTGTTGGTGCGCACTTTGGCTGTCCTTTGTCCTAAATCATCTATCATCTATCATAAAGAACACACCTTCTTTGATAGGCCCCTGATAATGCGCGCACACACACACACACACACACACATGCACACACACACACACCTACACACAGAGTTATGGCTTATGTTCAGTCCTGTTCCCGAGGGTGTGTCTCCTGTTTGAGTGTCTGCCTGTTCATCCATGTCCTAATCTGTAAAGTACTCATGTACTCACATACACTGCAGTGGCCATATTCCTGAGCTCGCGCTTTAAGCACAATGCACTTAAGAAGTGCATACAGCATACAGCTGTGTGAGTGCAGACAAGGGAAACCATACTATATGCATGTTTGTGAAATCAAAGTGAGGGCCATGAGAGAAAGTATGATCGGCTTCTGATAACAAACACTAGCAGGTACAAAGACGCTGAAACACAGGGCGCGGCAGCTGCCAGGAATGTGCTCAAGGCATCTCACCACACCCAACCTCTCTCTCGCTTTCTCGCTCCCTCTCTCTTTTTTACACACTCTCTCTTCCTTGCTCAACCCCTCTCTTCCCCCCTGATCTCCTCCCTCTCTTGAGTCACCCAGCCGGCTTGGAACAGGTATGCAGGTCCAGACAGGAGCTAAATCCAAGCTTGCACCTTAGCAGGGCTGGCTTAGTAGGCTGTGTCAGGTATATTTGAATTCAAAAAACCTTTATTGACAAGGCTTCTTCAAAATTGACAGTAGAATTAGATGAAGATGAAGAAATCCTGTGACCTTTTTTTTAATATAGATAGATAGATAGATAGATAGATAGATAGATAGATAGATAGATAGATAGATAGATAGATAGATAGATAGATAGATAGATAGATAGATAGATAGATAGATAGATAGATAGATAGATAGAGCAAAAGTTTTGAGACACTCCTCATTTCTTTATGCTTTGCCAGGAAAATGAAAAATAGGTGCAGCGACTTATTGAAGGATCTTGAAAGTCAATATTTGCCAGATAAACTTTTTTTCCGTTAATTAGTTTTTGAGAATACCTCTCCAAATAAAATGTCTAAAGAAAATGTAGAATTGATTCCTTGATTCTCCGTTAAGTGTAAACACAACACAGGTTCATCCCTTGAGTTAGGGATGCCTTTTTACGCCGATGCTGATTCATACGTCGGTTTTAAGAAATATAATAAGTAAAAACACAAACAAGACTCTCTGAAAATGGCCAGTTACAAGGACTGGACTGAAAATAAGAGAAAAGGCAGCCAATGTCCAAGGAAAAACTTTGAAAAACCTTCACAAAGCACAGAGAACCATTGCTCACGACTGGCTGGCCCTCCTGGGAGCAAAAGGTAAAGAAATGTCAGAGTTTTGTTTATATTATAGGAGGCGTTTCTCATTTTTGTCCATCCCATTTATGTTCATGGTGCTGTGCTTGCGTGTATAATACGAAGCAATTCAAAAGCACCACAAGCCCCAAAACCACCGCAAAGTTCACGTCATGTGATCAGTCAAACAAACATGAAGGCTGTACTGTTGTGTTGCTAGGAGACCCTAATAAACCATGGCATTTTTCTCTTTGTGACCGTTTCATAGTCACATTTTTTCCTTTAGTCTCAGAGTGCAGAACAGAGTGATATGAGTCAAAATCTGGAGTATCTGTATCTGACTTCATGTCTTATCACCGCGTGTGTCCATGTCTGCTGCAGCTTCCAGTGCAGACTTAATCACCATTTTCTAGGAGCAACAATAAGAGGAGGTTGCTCTTTGAGTGTGCCCTTCTTTGTCTGTCTCCACACTGCTCTCTGTGAGCTTTCCCAGCATGCTTTTCTCACGATGTAATGTCACACCGGAGTATAAGGTGACTCCCTGGAGCCAGAGGCTTTGAGGTCATCTTTACACCACTGTGCCGAGAGGAAAGGTGCCCAACGCTGTACAGTACACTGTACTGTAGGTGGCTGTGTGGGGGGGAGCTGTGTTTCTGTGGAGTTTGAGTAAACGTGGAGTCTAATGCTAACAATACAACACTGCATTCACCATTACTACCCAGGGTCTGATGATAAATATTGATAAATATTGGTACATCTGAGTGTTTAATGACCTGATTATATTTTTTATGTTGTTCCAAAAGATGACACCTGCATAATCCCTGCTAATTGGATCTAAAATTAATTTAATGAGCTTGACAAACTGGCGTGTGACTGTGTGCGTTTCTGCTTCATCCAGAGCCTGAAGCCTGACGCCTAAAGCCTTCCAAGGAGACTCTGTTCATTTTTAGTACTGGGCGGGCCCTTGTTATGAACTATAAACAGCTCAGGTAGAAGGAAAGTCCCCAATGAGAGTGCAGCGTTTTCATTTACAGTAAGTATGTGTTCCTGGTGCGATGCAGAGAAATGACAGACCAGCGCCACTACATACTTTGGGCAGGTGTTGTCGTTTTAACGCTATTATTACCACCTGTCACACGTGATGGTAATGATTATTTATGAAACAATGTGCATAACTTCACAGACAGACGGACACAAAGTCTGAGCAAACAAGGGGCTGATTTATCAAAGCTGGATGCCTTTCGACTGAAAGCCTGCTGTGACCTGCTGCTGCTCAGTCAATCAAAAAGGAAAGGAAAACAAGAACACCCGAGGCCTTCCCTTTAACAACTATTTTTTTGGGGGGGGTTTAAATATAGTTTTATATCAGGTAAAATGACATATTTTAGAGGGCTTGGTCCACCTTTGGACATGAATGTCACCAGACAAGACAGATTTGTTCCAGGACCTCACGGATCACTGCTAACTCCTAAGTGAAGTTCAGACCTTTATAATGTGGTTTTGGATGAACCTTATTAGACATGAAACGTGCTTCAGATTCACAGTTGTGGTCAGAAGTTTAGAGACACTCACCTTGAACTTGAATGCCATGGTAATTTTAGGGCTTTTAATAATTTCTTTGAGCTGTTCTTTTTCCAAAGTGGAAAGATTGTACCACGAACAATATTAATAACTTTAAAAGACAAGAATTGGGTGCACAAGTTTGAATTTATTTTTGGATTTTCTCTAATCCATACAGAGTCAGAAGTATCCATACATACAGCCCCACTAATATTTTGTCATTTCTCTGCACCTTTGAAAGTTGCACTTCAACAACAAGCTTCTGGTTCTATTCTGGCTTGATATTTGACTTCTCTTCTTTGCAGGAGGGTTCATTTAGATTGGTTGGTTTACTGGCACGTACATGCTGTTCAGCCTAGTCCACAAATTTTCAGGAGGGTTGAGGTTGGTGTTTTGAAAAGCCAAAAGCTTAAGGTTAATCTGCTTTATCCAATCCAAAACCAGTTTTGTTGGTACACCCAACACCTACCTTAGATTTGAAAAGAAGCTGAAGAAGTGCATCCACTTTGTGCACTGTACCTGTACCACTAGCAATAAAACAGCCCTGCAGCATGATGCCACCACCACCATGCTTGACAGGCACGTGGCCTCTCCTTCATGGTCAATCTTGGCACAATAGCTTTTTTTCCAAACCAATTTCCTGTCACTGAGGGTGACAGATTGGGTCTTCCCAGAGACCTTGGCAAAGTAGCGACATATCTGAATAAACTTGTACTTGCAAATGTATGAACTGATGATCTTGGAGTCAGTACTTGTTTGGAAATGGATCTTGAACTTTCCTGTTCTTCTGAGTATCAGTCAATCCAGTGAGTGCAGTTACGCAAATCCTTTTTATGATTGCAAAGAGAAACTGCCAGTTGTAGTCAGTCATGTGATGTTTACAGCTCTTGGCTATTTTAAATTAAAGTACACTATAGAGCCTTCAGCACCACTTACTAAAAGACCAAAGTGAGTGTATATATAATTTTGATCCTGTGGGGATTAGAGAAAATCCAAAATAAATTAATACTTGTGCACTCAATTATTATTAAAGATATGTGATATACAGTCATTCGACCCTGGAAAAAGAACAGTTCAAAGAATTTATCAAAAGCTCAAGATCACATTAAGATTTAAGTCACTAATGAGTGGATACAAACTTCTGACCACGACTGCAAATCTCAAGAGGTTCTGTTTGTACTAATAACTCTGACTTGAACTCTGCCAAAGTGTCATATGTGGGCTGCAGGATGAAACTGCAGATCAGCAGGTGACTAAGAATGTTAAAGGTGTAAACATGCAGCGATGTAATGATGGCTATCTGCCACAAAACAGGCTGACGAGACAGTTCGACCTATGACTGAATTTAGAGAAATGTACCCTGATCACTGAAGACAGAAAATATCTGTGGATGTTTTTAGCAGGTGACTTTTGTGGGGGTCATTTAGAGTCATCAGTACGACCTTATGTGGTTCCTCTCCCCAGCTTTCCAGCCATACTAAATATGTTATATGTAACCACACTTACGTATCGTAATGGAAAGCTGATCCTGCTTAGAAGAAACCATCTTATGACAGGAGTCCAGAGTCCTTAAAGCCTTGTTTCCACTGAGCTCCAGAGGATCATCAGCAGTGGAGCATGGTGTTAGCTATCTGTGTTATACTGCCCTCTACTGGGCGGAACTTGAAAGTGTCCTTAGCGGAAGTTTAAAATAGTTTGCAAATCTCTTCAAAATGTAACAAAAACCTCGAATAATAAACGCAATCCACTGACGAAGGCGACTAAACGTGTTTTTCCTTAGACTTGATAGCAATAAGATTAAAAAATACAAAAGGAGCTCTTGAAGAGGGTAAAATAATTGATCAATTGTGGAAAATGATAAATAAATAAACTGTTGTTAACTCCCATCTTGTAATTCTGAGGTTTATTGTTACACTTTCACTGATATTGCTATAAATGAAATCATGTTTTTAACCGAGTCTCACATTATTGTGCTGCCCTTTTTTAATGTTTTGACGACTCTGTGCATGATTCAGTGCTGTAGATTATTCATAAAATCCACTTCTAAAATAGGGCACGCATATTCAAACGTCAGGAAAACTGGGATCAAACTGTGGCGCAAACACTTTGTTTATGTTGTTGATGTTTCGCGAGCTCTGCGTCATATTTTCGCACAGACTGAAGGGAAAATGAAACTGATGTTAAGTTTCGATTCCACGCCAAAGCTAATATTAGAGCATATATACAGAAGCTGCCTGCAGGTCAACATTCACGAATCAAACGCTGATTATTTCACGTCGACGTTTCACCTCAGCGGACAGAGTTAATCCACAGCCGAGCAGCATGGGCAGATCCACAGGTAAGACATCATTTATTTCATTGAGTATTTTATTAATATGAGGTGGAAAAAAATTTTTTTTTTTAATTTCTTGCAGTGTTTGTTTTGATCACCATGGCTGCTGCGTCAGCATTTAAGTAGCAGCGTTAAACTTCTTAATTTAAAACCGAGGAGGGGAAAACAGCTTTTTGATGAGCTTGATGATTTTTTTTACATTTATTTTTCACTGTCTGCTCTTTTTTCTTAATTTTTGCTTTTTTCTATCCAAATGACAGTGATGTTGTGTAGTTTAGTTTGTTTTTGTGTTCTTAGTTTTTCTTTTTTTACTCCTTTGTGCAGAATGGATTCCTGCTTTATGGTTAGACGTCTTTAATGACCTGCTGTATGAGGACAATCAGCTTGATTATGAAGACCAGTGGACTCTCAACTTTAGCTACAGCCAGACAGACACAGTCACCAAGGACGAGAGGAAAAGAGGCTGGAAGGTTTATGCCCACTGTGCCCGTGGAAAGTACGTTCCCTGAATACTCTCAACATTTCTTGCGTTAATTTCCTTCAAATAGAGCCTGTGTGAGGTAACAGTCACTGAAAATATTAATACATATGCTGCAAAGGAGACATAGATACAAATATTTCCTTGCTATGGTTACGCAGTCTCCACCCATTCCTGTCCACATGAGCAAACAGCTGATCTGATGACATGTCTGTGTGACAGCTGTCTCACAAAGCAGTCTACTCAAATGGAGAGAAACTTGTTCTGCCACCTGGTTAAATAAGTTACCTGAGCGAGTTTCTTCTTCTAACCTAAAATCAGAAAGAAAGTTGGACCCACGAGGTGCCAGACTGCCCACTAAAGCCTTGTGTGTCTCCTAGTCTGTTTTCCACTCAAAGGAAGCACAACGTTCATTTAATTAATGAGGAACAAGGGAGGAAAGAAGCAGTTCATTTTCTAGAAACAGAACTGAGGATTGCACAAAAAGTCTTATCATTTCTTATTCCTCGTGGTTTATCTCTACGTGGCAGTCACACCTCAATAAGCAAATGATAAGCGTGAGAAAGAAGGGGAAAAGGACTGATGTGGCCTGTGGTGATTTGTCATCATCCTTCCATCCAACCTCAACCATACTGGCCCCATCCACCCTCCCCTATAAAGTCATCTGGCTGGAAAGTTATACGGTTTAGAAGAGCAATATGATAAAGCAGCTGCGATATGGGAAAAATGAACGCCTGCACTGAGATAGCAAGGTTAGTGATAACTACTAGGCTGAAAATAACTCTGTGCTCTGTATCTAATCACTTCTCCACAGATTTCAGTGTGCGTCCTGCAGAAAGACCTGGCCCTCAGCACGAGTGGTGGTGTTGTTCCGGTACCGGCTTCAGAGGGGCCGCGGGACAGTGATCATGCGGCCCTTCGGTCAGGCCTGTCGTCGGTGCCAAGATGGTTTTGAGCTTGGTGGATTTTCCGAGAATGAGGTGGAACATGCTCTGCTGAGGGTGTTTGCCAAAATCAGGAAGAACTGCTACGGCGAGGATGATGATGATGACGACGATGTGTCATCCACAGAGTCCACCGTAGTGCGGACCAGACCCCACGAGGACACCCTGTGTGAGGCATGCTGTATGGGCATTTGCTGTCAGGATGACAGCTAGAAGTGTGTGCATGCGTGTTTGTGTGTGTGTGTGTGTGTGCGCGTGTGTGTGTCTATCAAAGTGTGAGTGCCATGACAGCCTCCTTTTCCAGTTTGCACATGAAATTTTCTTCAGCAATTTGAAGTTTAAAGGCTTTTTACTGTTATGAAGGTTCTTGGTGTGGTAAAAAAACAACAACAAAAAAACAGGACCAATCACCAGATATGATAAATTTTCTATATTTTTTTATTGTATTGTATTCGTACTAATTAAGTAATAAAATTTTGTGAAATTGTGATCAAGTTGGGTTTCTCCGATCTATTTTTTATTTTTCTTGAATTGATCTTTTACTGTAATAGACATGAGAATAAATGGGATTTATGGGATGGGATTTTATAGAAGCTGAAATTAATTTAGATCATCCTTCAAAAGAACTGCCCAAAAAAAGTTCCTGCAGATGTTTCAGGATGTCTGACGAGAGGAAAGATTTGGTTCAGGAAGGATTTATTTGCACGTAACACAAATTTAGAGTAACCTGAGTCAAATATGGAAAAATCCAGCACTGTCATTATGTTGAGCTGAGCTACAAAACTGCCTGCCTTGATTTTTTTTTTTTTTATGGGAACGTGATAATAAACTTAAACTACACATAAAAATATAAAACACCACAGGAAGCTCAAGTCCACAGGAATGTTAAAGCCTGAACTACTAAACTGACATACGTGTGCACGAATACTGGTTCAATGACTTCAGGCTTCCTATTCTGAGCACCTCCCATTGTTTTCATTTATTTTCATTTTCTATTGTTGTTACCGTGTAAAGTCAAAAAGGGAGAGCAGCGAAAAATATTTAACAGCGAAAGTTTAGAGCATATTTTCACTTTCAAAGAATAATTTACAAACATTTCAATTATTTTCATTCATTATTTTTTGCACAAATATTGTGTAACCACAGAACACAGAGGCACAAGTATAAAATGCATCCAAAGCATCATTAATACAGACATAACACTAAATATATATTATTTCCCCTTAATTTACTAGAAATTAATAGACAACAGTAAAAATCACCTGTGAAGCTCTAAAACTGGGTAAAAACAATTAGAAAAGTTTGATAAGCTTTCTTCTTCATCCAAACATTCAGGAATGAGCCAAAGATTATAGTTATCACAGAGCTTATCAGGACAGACATGCAGCAGTTTTGCTGAAGGTGACTGTGCTCCGGGGTGTTTTTACAAAATACACAGGAGAAAATTCCCCACGGGTGTGAAGTGCTTTCAGATAAGAATGCCACAGCGCAGAGGAAAGTCACAGGAGAATCAAGAACACATGAGAAAACTCAACTTCATATTTAAGCAGTTGTTTATGTCAGGTAATAAGTAACACTTCAGGACACTCTCCTGACTCCTGCAGGAGCTCCTTTATTTCCCATATCTGCATCTTTTGACCTGGCACAGGTTTTGCACTGGATGCACTTCCTGATATGAGCAGCAGTGATAGTGCACTATCATTTGATTCAGTTTATCCTATCTGTCCAGAAGTTGATTCTGTTCATCTGGACGTAGCGTTTTCAGTGGGAGAAACGCTTCGTCACTCATCCAAGTGACTTATTCAGTCTCAGCTGACTGCAGGTTTCCCCAACCTTATAAACAGTACATTTGCACAATGACTGAAACCAGCCCACTGAAGGAACAAAGGGCTGTGAGGTCAGTTCCTTCATCATAATTATGCAAATTCTCATAACCGTTGATTAACAACCACTGATCAACCTGCAGTCAGCTGAGACTTCCGCCGGGTTGCAGGGGCAGCAGCCCGAGCAGAGAAGCCCAGAATAGGAACATGAAATATCCTGAGTTTCAGTATCTGTTAGTTTATTGAAATAAAAGAATACGTAAATAAATGAGTGTGTGTTAGCCCTGCGACAGACTGGCGACCTGTCCAGGGTGTACCCCGCCTCTCGCCCTATGACAGCTGGGATTGGCTCCAGCACCCCCCGCGACCCTGAAAAGGATAAGCGGTAGCGAATGGATGGATGGATGGACGTAAATAAATGAGTAATATTAATAATAAAAACTTGCCTGGTGAGGCATTTATTGAGACTATGGTTGTCTACAGGACTAAGAGTGGCTGCTTGTTTTTATTGTTGTACCTGTACAGATGTTCTTGCCTCTGACATATGTCCTCCGTGCATGAACGATAAAAACTAAAACTGAAACATTTGCAAACAATAAAAACTAAACTGAAAAGAGCAAACACTCTGGAAATGAACTGAAACTACACTGAATCGAGAGGAAAAAGTCCAAGTAAATGATGCAATAGTGGAGACTGCATGGAAAAGGAAAGCAATGTTAAGTTTCGCTTTCCAAACACACACCTGAGAAGGTGGAACTGCCCTCCTCGGGCAGTTTTACAAAAACTGCTACCACCAGGAGGGTGACAGTGGGAGGTCATCATCAGAGCCTGAAACGAGGACCAAACCCCACGAGAAGAACCAGGCATGCCGCATGGGCATTTGCTGTGTGGATGATGAGAATGATGACTAATGTGTGTGTGTGTGTGTGTGTGTGTGTGTGGGGGGGGGGGGGGGGGGGGGGTCTTTTGGGATTTTTTAATGCATTTTGCACACAAACCTTTCCTTCATATTTTAACGTTACCAGTCTTTTTGCTTCCCGTGAGCTAGCCAGGGAGCACAGCCGTTTATTGACATCTGCAGAAGAACACTGCCGCTAGCTAACTGCTCAGCGCGGCAACAGCACAGCAACAACAACAACACACAGGGCGCCCTCTGACCCCGGAAGGGCACACCGTCGCAGCGAGAGGGCGTCACCCGTCACTATGGCAACACAAACAAAACATAACTGTACAAACAGAACCCCGAACAGCCCTGACCCGCTACAATATATATCCTGCTGCTTTTACACACGCACTCACATGCGTAATAGAAGGGGGGGGGGGGGGGGTTCTTTTGGGATTTTTTAATGTATTTTGCACACAAGCCTTTCCTTCATATTTTAAAGTTACCAGTCTTTTTATGATACACATTAATTGTACCGTATGTGATTCTATTACTTTTGTGGTTTTCTTTGTATTTGATTTGTGGCTACTAATAAAGTCTTAAGTCTGATCAAGTCTTCTTTTATGGCTTTTATTACTTTCTGGATTTGTTTTGTGAGACAGAAATTACTGCACTTTTACATGAATAATCTCAGTTTATCTGTTTATCGCACTCATCTACATTTTAGATGAAGTTCAAATGTGGTTAACGTTGAAACTACACATGATTTATAAGTGATTAGTACACATGATTAGACATGAAAAGCAAATGAGGTTGTGTAGTTCTTGACTGTTCTTGACTAAAGCACGAAGGTGACCGACTGACTTTTGCCCGTGATGTTAGGCGGCGATCATACACTGATACCCTCTTAGCCAATTCAGTTTTCACCCACAGCCACCAAAAATCTACAAAATAATTAAATGTACCAGTTAAATAAGAGCACACTGTGTTGTAACCGGCTTGTTTAGGTCGGACATGGCTGCATGGAAAATGAAAGCGATGTTAAGTTTCGTTTTCCAAACGCACAGCTGCTCTCAGGATATAAACAGAGACGCTCCAGCAGCAGAGCCACATTCACCACTCGAACAACATCAGCGACTCATCGCATCAGCTGGAAGCTCTTCAGTTAACAGACAATCGATCAACATGGACACAGGTAACATGGTTTAGCTTAGAATTTGCACCTGTGCTGGTTGTTTGGATCTTTGGTGTACTGTAAAACAGACCGCTTTGCTTTGTGACAGCATCAGCTTAACTTATCGTCTTCTCTTGTCCAGAATGGACCGCTTCTTTATGGTTGGACACATTTAACGAACTGCTGAATGAGGACAATGAGCTGGACTATGGAGACCGGTGGACTCTCAACTTCAACTACAATCAGACAGACAGAGTCACCGAGGAGGAGAGGAGGAGAGGCTGGAAGGTCTCCACATATTGCGCCCGTGGAAAGTATGTGCCGCACGTCCTACATTTATAAACTTTCAAATATGCAGGTCATATGAATACATGAGTGTTTGTTCGCTTTATGTGGCGCTCACAGTATTATTTCAACCAGAGTCGTAGCTATTCAAGTGGAAAGAGCAAGATATAGATGCAAGCGCGTAAAATATATTTGGACCTAACACAGTCTAATCGTTTCTCCACAGTTTTGAGTGTGCATCCTGCACAAGAACCTGGGCTTCAGCGCGGGTAGTGTTGGTGTTCCGGTACCGGCTGCTGAGGGGCCAGGGGACGGTGATCATGCGTCCTTTTGGTCAGGCCTGTATTCGATGCAGAGGCAACAAATTCAATCTCCCTGGTTTCGCGGAAAAAGAGGTGGAACAAGCCCTCCTCAGGCAGTTTTACAAAATTCGGAAAAACTGCTACCGCGAGGAAGATGATGATGAAGATAGTGGGAGATCATCATCAGAGTCTGAAGTGAGGACCAAACCCCACGAGAAGAACCTGTGCCAGGCATGCCGCATGGGCATTTGCTGTGTGGATGATGAAGATGATGATTAATGTGTGTGTGTGTGTGTGTGTGTGTGTGTGTGTGTGTGTGTGTGTGTGTGTGTGTGTGTGTGTGTGTGTGTGTGTGCGCGCGCGCGTAAGATGATGACTAATGTGTGTGTTTGTGTGTGTGTGTGTGTGGGGGGGGGGTGTTCTTTTGGTATTTTTTAATGCATTTTGCACACAAACCTTTCCTTCATATTTTAAAGTTACCAGTCTTTATAGGATACACATTAATTGTACTGTATGTGATTCTATTACTTTTGTGTGATTTTCATTGTATTTGTGGCTAATAATAAAGTCTTAAGTCTGATTAAGTCTTCTTTTATGGATTTTATTACTTTCTGGATTTGTTTTGTGAGGCAGAAATTACTGCACTTTTACATGACGCACTCATCTACACTGTAGATGAAGTTCAAATGTGGTTAACGTTGAAACTACACATGATTTATAAGTGACTACTAGTACACATGATTAAACATGAAAAGCACACACTCACCAAAATTAATCTTTAAAATAATGAAATGTGCCTTGTAGCCAGTTTAATAACAGCATGCTCTTTTGTAACCGGCTTGTTTAGGTCGGACATGGCTGCATGGAAAATGAAAGCGATGTTAAGTTTCGTTTTCCAAACGCACAGCTGCTCTCAGGATGTAAATAGAGACGCTTCGTGCAGCAGAGCAACATTCGCGACTTGATAAGCATCAGTGACTTATCGCATCAGCCAGAAGTTCTTCGGTTTACAGAACAAAACATCGAGAAATATGGCCACATCGACAGGTAACTTTTTAAATGTATTTTTTTTATTTTGCGGCAGTGAAACGTTTCTTTTGATTAGGTGTGCATCACTTGCACATCACACCACACAATTTCTTCTGCTTTTACACAACATTAAATAACACTGATCTCTGTAAAAGTGTATGATTCACTGAGATCATCAGCCTAACTTATTTCCCTCTCCTGTCCAGAATGGACTCCTTCTTTGTGGTATGCAGTGTTGGGAAGGTTACTTTTAAAATGTATTCCGTTACAGAATACAGAATACATGCCCCAAAATGTATTCTGTAACTTATTCCGTTACGTTACTCAATGAGAGTAACGTATTCTGAATACTTTGGATTACTTAATATATTATCGTGCTTTTTACAACAACGTGAATGTACTATTGCTGTGTGATTTATTACTATTACTGAAGGTCCGCGACTCCGAACTGTAGTAAAGGGACCTCTGACTAATACGGCGGGGTCCCTGTCGGCTCATAGCCGAAAAATAGCTTTACTTTGTTGTGTGGGTCAATTTTTCTTGCGAGAGACAGAGAGAGGCGTTGAAAGACTGCTCCAACGGAACTTATTGTTTTCGGAGGAAAACACGAACACGGTGTACAGTCGAGTCTTAATAGCTTACTTACAACTGGGCTCGTCAGGCACTCTTCTTGGCTGCAGTGGTTATTATTATATTTACATGCTTCCAGCTCCCGTTTTTCCTCGACGGCAACTCGTACCTTTCCACTCGCCTTTTTCTCCCTCCTCGCGCTCACAGACACATAACGTGTATGGCAGTGCATTCTCCCTGCAACACGGACTATACTGCCCATGATGCTACATTCTTTAGAGCTATGCTTGTAGCATTCTGCCTGTTAGCTTAGCACAACAACGAAAAGGCGCTCTCTCACCCAGGAAACACACAGTCGCAGAGAGAGAGAGAGAGCGTCGCCCTGTAACCATGGCAACCGTAACGCTGCCGCCTGGAACGAAAGAACGTAGCTGTCAAACAAAACCCAAACAGTCCTGACCCGCGACAAAATGAAACAGGAAAGTACCGCAGTGTAGGCCTAATCCATTTATTTCAACAAAGTAACTGTATTCTGAATACCACCTTTTTAAACGGTAACTGTAACGGAATACAGTTACTCATATTTTGTATTCTAAATACGTAACGGCGGTACATGTATTCCGTTACTCCCCAACACTGGTGGTATGACACCTTCAATGAACTGCTGGATGATGACAGTGAGCTGGACTATGGAGACCGGTGGACTCTTAAGGTTAACTACAACAAGACAGATGAAATCACTTATGAGGAGAGGAAGAAAGGCTGGAAGGTCTCCACTCACCAAGCAAACGGAAAGTATGTTAACTTATAAACAATAAAAACGTAAACATATGTAAAGTAATAGTTACTGAAAATGTGAAACAACAGCAAGACAACATAAAAATATTAAAAATATATAAAAATATATAAATCCATAGCAACAGCATAGCAAAACCAGAAGAAAAAAAGGAGGCAACATGTTTCAGACTGTGGGTGTAGTTGTAGTTTTCCATCTCCACCTTCTCTCTGATCACATGAGTGTGCAGGTTCTCTGACAAATGATCGTGTGACTGGGAGGAGGTTGCACACAGAATCAAAACAATGTCATTCTGTGATTAAAAAACTGGTTCTGCTGCTAAATGTAATTTCTTTATGGTGACTCAGAGAACCACACAATACTGTTTGAGCCACAGACTCATAGGGAGGCTCAGTTACTACATGTGGAAAAAGCAAGCTATAAATGTAAGTACATAAAAATAAATGTGTACCTCACAGCATGTAACCATTTCTCCACAGATTTCAGTGTGTATCCTGCAAAAAGACCTGGGATTCAGCGCAGGTGAGGTTGGTGTTCCGGTACCGGCTGCTGGGGGGCCAAGGGACAGTGATTATGCGTCCTTTTGGTCAGGCCTGTCTTCGCTGTAGAGGTGACAAGTTCAATCTCCCTGGTTTTGATAAGAAAGAGGTGGAACAAGCCCTCCTCAGGCAGTTCTACAATATTCGGAAAAACTGCTACCATGAGGAGGATGAGGAGAAGGCTGAAGACAATGGAAGACCATCATCAGAGTCTGAAGCGAAGACCAAACCCCACAAAAACCACCTGTGCCAGGCATGCCGTGTGGGCCATTGCTGTGTGGATGACAAGGATGCTAACTAGAGTGTGTGTGTGTGTGTGTGTGTGTGTGTGTGTGTGTGTGTGTGTGTGTGTGTGTGTGTGTGTGTGTGCTAAAAGTGCTCAGAGAAACTCTTTTTTCTTGTTTACTGGTTCCTGGGATACTCTATCTGTTTTGCACTTGAAGTTAACAGTTTTAAGAGTACGATCCACATTCATGGTGCAGTATATGATCATATCACTTTTGTGTGTGTTCATTGTATTTTGTGGCTATTAATAAAGTCTGATCAAGTCTTGTTTATGGTGTTTGGTTTGTTATGGATTTGTTTTGTGTGGCAGACGTGCTAGAAATTGCTGTACTTCACATTCATCTATAGATCAGATCTTTTTTCCACTCCATTTATTTTCTAGTCATACCAGATACAAGTAAAAACATGAAACCAGAAATGCTGGTATTATACTAAAACGTACATGCCATAGAAGTAACAATGGTCAGTTTTAGCTGTCAGGGAAGCTTATGAATGCTCCCAAATTCTAACAGCATGGCAAATCAAGGTACAGCCGGAGTCATACTAAACTGCAGGCTATAGAGTCAGTCTTGCAAATTCTCCCAGATAAAGTAACTGCATGCAAAGTACCTCAAAAACGTGTGCAACAGTGTACCTACATGTTTAAACAAGGAGTGACTGCATCAGACAGTATTTGATCTAGTTTTTTTCCTGCTTTACATGAATGTAACATGGTGTTGGTTTGAGGCCTGTCACATCTGAATGCCTTATAAGAATAAAGGGAAGCTACAGTTTATCTTGATCATCTTGTGTGACACTTGTTTATTTCCTGTTGCTTTTAAAAAGACTGTTAAAACTTTTATTTCTCGCTACTAAACATCTTTGGGTTTCAGCAGGGACGCATGCAGTTCAGCGCATAATCGGGTTCTTTTACGACTCATAGGTGTTGACTATTGTAAAGAAAAAAAAATTAAATTAAAAATTAAATAAAACAAAAAACACAAGCTGTTCCTTATCATCGCTGGTGGCTGTGGGTAAATATATCCTGATATAATATCGATACAACACTGATATCGAATCGATACTAAGGTGATAGGAGTGATACTTTAGTTTGTTTCCCTTCTTTAATTTCAGTACATTGCTCCCATTCATTGGAGGAGACCCCTCTCCTCTCATGCAGGCGCACTCTCATACTCCCTACTGTTGTTGTTGCCCTGCGGTCACTCAGTGGCACTGAGCAGAGCCATAGTGACGCGTTGAGCTGGTTTATAGCTGTAGATTAAAACACTGCAAACAATAATGGGTGTTGGAAGGAAATTCTCTACCGTGGCAAAAACACCAACTTATATAAAGATATGAAAGAGTGTAATGTATGTTTGCACTGATTGCCGATCACGCTTCAACTGAGTCGTCCTCGGTCAGAAGGAATGGTACTCCACAGTGATGTAGTTCAAATAACTTTACTAAGGAGGTGGCAGATGACATCAACAGGATGTACAGCGTTGGTAGGGAGGCATTACAGTATTCACATGCAGGTAAAGGGGGTGTGAGTGTGTATCTGGGTGTGTGTGGTCATATGGTAAGCACGCACACAGTATTAACTCACACAGGAATGCAAGTAAATACGTTATCCTCCGACACACCTCTCATCTGTGCAGAACTGCGCTGAACACGTTCCCAACCGAAGTACAGATACCGAGGTGCGTCATGGGTAACGTAGTATAAACAGTTACAATGAACAAGCGGACTTTTAACAAAGAGCACGAAAAAGAGACTTTTCACCCGGAACAAGCAGCAAAAATAAATGCAGAGAGGAGGAAGGAAATCCCCCAGACATGGCCCAGACTCTCGGCACAGAGACAGAGCCCACTGTCACAGCCCTTTCATAGACTCAAGAAATAATCTCATATAGTATGAAGGTAAAAGTTACGGTGATTTAGAGATCATTAAAATGTGTTCAGAATTTGGAAAACCGCTGATGATTCATCTCATAGATCACGATCACACTGCTCTCCCTACATAAACCTTTATAAGTTTGGTATCTGCAATACTGGCCGTGTATTTAGTTGGTATGAGTTCAAGATGTGCACTATCTCACACTAGCAGCACAAGTCGCTAGACGGAACGTGAATTCTAAGTTTCGTTTTCCACACATCACGCATAAATAAACAGAGGCTGCCTGCAGAGCAGCATTCACAAGTCAAACTCTGTCTCATGTCAACGTTTCATTTCGTCTCCCAGAAGGTCTCCAAATATCAGACTTTATGTATCAGACCATCGAGATATACAGGTAACACACCAGCCTACTATTTGTTTCTTTAAACGCGTATATGGGTGATTGATTTGTAATTAATGCATTGCATATTTGTTTTGATCAAGGCGTTTAAAAGCGTTTCCTGTGTTCTTGTAATGACAAATAAAAGACTGATTTGCCTGTATAGCGTAAGCCTAACGTCCTTCCCTCTCCTCTTTGTCCAGCTTGGGCTCCTTCCTTGTGGACACACACCTTTGAGGAGCTCTTCTGTGGGGATAATGCGCTGGACTATGGAGAGCCATGGTCGCTCACCTTCAGCTACAAACAGACAGACAAATTATCCAAGAAGGAAAATAGGAGAGGCTGGAAGGTCTTCTCCCACTGCGCTTATGGAAAGTATGTTTAATTTAATGAAATCATATTTACCTTACACTGTATGTAATAATAATAGTAGAAACTATGCTGGAAAGAAAAAGGCATCAATCATGTTTCAGGTAGTGGGTATAAATTGAAAGATTGTCTTGTGCTTTTTCCGTCTCCACCTTATTCATGTTCACGGGAGCAGGTGGGTCACCTGTCGAGGTTTTTGTGTGACAGGGAGCAGCAGTGGACGGTATTAAAACAATGCTATTCTGTGGGGGAAACAGGTTCTGCAATTTAGTTACAGCGATAATTGAACAGTTATCTTGCTTTATTATGACTCTGACGATTCGCATGGTATGATTGACCCAGCGATTCATTACTAAAGCTTTCCGCTGACGTGGCAATCTGAAACTGAAAAACATCAGTTCAAAGCATTGATGGGACACAGACAGAGTTACTAACCTGAAAAATCACCATTGACCAGAGTCTATAGTCATAATTTCCCCCACAGTTTTCAGTGTGCATCCTGCAGGAGGATCTGGCCTTCGGTGCGTGTGGTGCTTTTGTTCCGTTATCGGCTGAGAGGCGGTAAGGGGGCGGTGACCATGCGGCCTTTTGGACAAGCCTGCCGGCGATGCCAAGACGATAATTTTCATCTCCCCGGTTTTTACAAGGAAGAGGCGAAAGAGGCTCTGCTCAGATTGTTTTCTGAAATCCGGAAGAACTGCTATGGAGAGGAGGATAAGAATGAAGAAGGTGACTCAGGCGCTACGAGACGGAGGTCCAAACCCCACGAAAAAACCCTGTGTGAGGCCTGTTGTTTTGGCTTGTGCTGTCAGGATGATCAAAATGATAAGTAGTGTGTGTGTGTGTGTGTGCGTGCGTGTGTGTGTGTGTGTGTGTGTGTGTGCGCGCAACAGCGAGGTGTAAAGAGAGTGGCAGTCTGGTTGTTTGCTGTTTTCTTGAGATCTTTCTTTTCTAGTTTACACACAAAAGTTTCCTTAATGAGCTGGTTTATTCATAATTATCTAAGTTATTGATAATAATAAGGAATATGAAAACCTTCATTAGCAATAATAAGATTTCATCACTGTTGTGTGTTTATTTTGGGCTTTGTGCAACCTGAAGGTGTGTCCTGATTATTTTCTTGGTTTGTTTGGTGTGATGTCTTGAGGTATAATCCAAAAATTGTAGTTACTGTACTTTTACTTAAATTGGTTTATCAGGAGGGAGGAGGCTGGGGGCAAACCCAGGACACGCTGGAGAGATTATATCTCTCGGCTGGCCTGGGAACACCTTGGTGTTCCCCCGGATAAGCTGGAGGAGGTGGGCTTCTTTGCTTTGGCTGCTGCTGCACCCAGCCCCGGATAAGTGAAAGAAGATGTATGGATGTATGGATGGGTTGTTTATCGGTATTGCGTCATCATTCCACTCATCTGATGCTTTTTTTTCTCACCACATGTATTTGTTATGTTTAGCAGACAAAGGTTTCACATGAAAAACGTGAAACATGTGATGCTGATATATTAAAACAGGAGTTTTAACAATGCCGTGATACCGTTTCACTGCTCATGGGTCAGAATGACTCAGACACTTACAAGCAGATTTCTGATTGGCCCCAAATTCTCACAACATAAACTAATTACAGAGATGTGCAAACTATATGTCTGCATGTGTACCTACATTGCATGCTCAAAAACACAGAGAGGTTACATCAAACAGTACTTTGATCTAATTTTTTTTCTTGTTAGTTGCACTTTGTGTTACAATCTATGCATATAATTCTATATTGTATCACACTGAAGTAATGATGTTTATGGAGAGGTTTTATTAAACAAGCAAATAAATAAGTTGCGCCTTGTTCATTTCCCAAATTGCAACTGTGGTTATCACATCCCACCAAAATCTTTGGGGGAATCTTTGATATTCATTTTGTAACTAAATAGATAAATGTGCACAACCTGTAAAGGCTGAAGGTTTGACTGTGTGATCATATATCTCAATATCAAAACTGAAGTTGAGATTTCATTTTATGCTCTTATATTAAACTCTTTATACACTTGTGCATTTCCTGTTCCTTTTTGAGGTGTTACTAGGGTTAGATGCACTTCTCACATGTGATGACTTGTAAAGTTGAGCTAATCAAAATGTGGTGCATTGTCTCAGGTTGCAGGGTAAGGGGACAAAGATATAAAAATGCTTTCCTGGCCTATGATCATTTATGTTCATATATATCACACTGGTAATTTGTCAAACTCACACAAGGAATTAACCCCAAAGTGTTTGTGGCAAATAACATAACAGTTCAGTTGTTTTTACTAGTACAGCGCACTGGTGGGTGATTTTGTGGGGTGGTCTGGAAGTAATCATCTGCTTCTGAAAGAGGATGGCTATATTCCCCGTTTCTGTCCTGGGACAAGATGTTGACTTGATGGAGCAGTCCAATACCTAGGCATTCACATCTACAGGTTGTACTGGAAGGCCAAATGCAGAGGCTGTATCCAAAACTCACGTGCAGCAAAATGATGGCGCTTGGCTTTCACTCAGTTGCTGAGAATGCAGTGTAGTTTGTTGGTCTGCTGGTAGAGCACTGTTGGAGCTGGTGACACCAAAAGACTGAGTGACTAAAAGACATTTGGAGTTGTGGTGTAGGTCAATAAACAAAATCAGAGAGATAAAAGGCATTTACATGCAACCAATAACATACACAAATGATGACGATGATGATGATGATCATCATCATCATTTCAGCTGCTTCCTGTAGGGGTCACTGTAGCATCATCTGCCTTCATACCACTCCTTCGCACGTCCTCTTTCACTACACCCATGAATGTTCTTTTGGGCTTAGGATTTCCAGCTCTGGCACCTCCAGCTAGGTCTCCTGTTTTCGTTACTGCTAAAACAAAAAGAATTTCCCAAATATGGGACAAATAAAGTATTTCTCATGCCTTCATATACGTCATCATAAATGTTGTTATTGTTTCTCTTTTTTCTTTTTCAATTTTCTTCTCGGATTTTTAAAGTTTAATTACATTTTAAAATTATTATTATTATTATTATTATTATTATTATTATTATTATTATTTTCTTAACTGATATTGACCTTAACCAACCAACCAGCGAGCGCAGATAGCCGACCAATCCGGTGAAAGCTCTCTGCGTGACAGGTAGTGTTGCGCATGCGCAACACGCTTTTCCCTTTGGCAGCAACAACAACACAGAGAACGAAGTCAGTCTCGCCCCTCCGCTGTCGGCAACGGCATCATTGTCCCCACCGGGTCCGGTGGCAGAGAGGATGGTCCAGCGGAACCGCAGCCGGGGATGCGAATGACAGCCACAGGATAATGTCCCTGGATGTATGCAAGTTTCCGAATGAAGTAGTGACCAAGTGAGACGACCGTGTAAGTAGAGCGACGGAGATGCTGCCCGGCTGTAGGTAGTTGAGGCTAACATATCTCGCTAACGTTAACCTGAGACAGGAAAATAGACGCTTTGCTAGCGTCGGTAACGGCAGAAAGGTAAGCTGCACTGGGTGTTAACGCTTCCCAGCGGCGCCGCCACAACCTGCGAAAACGTTAAAACTACCGGCAAAGCGTTTTGTTCGGCAGCATTACAGAAACTACACACCTACTACTCGCTTCCCAGTTGGGGTAGTAATTCAAGCAGACTGTACGGTTGCTGAACAAAGGAGCTTTAACCAAGGGGCCGCATGGACACAAACATGAAGAGAGAAGTCGGCCACTGTTTGTTTTGTGCTCCATTTCATGCTGACACACTTCGGAGACACCCACACGAGGTCTGACCTGAATATTTAGCCGATATACGGCGACCCAGCTAATTTTGGTAAAATGCCCAGCTGCTAGTGAAGTCAGTCGCGCTGTATTATCGTATTATTTTTATTATTATTAATGTTGTAACGCAGCTTCTGCCTTTGACTCACAAGTTTTATGCCCCTTTTAACGACCATACATTGTCCCGCAGCAGTTATAGAGTGGCTTGATTGCCCAGAGTTTGGGTAGGTTTTACCACTGACGTGTTACAGCTGACAGCAACTTTTGATAACAGCAGCAACACTCCAGTGGCTGTCATGTTTTATGTGTGTTTGATTGTTTTTTGTTTTTCATTTAAAGCGATCGCTTTAAATTAGGCTTGTGACAGGTTGAACGTAAATGCTTTGATCCTCTTTGAATTTACTTTCACAATAGTTTGCAGCACATCATAACTGGTAAAACCTAAAAATCAGAGGAACGTAAGATTGGCAAATTCAAGGAAACCCTCAAACAAAGTGTGTGTGTGTTTTCAGAACAGCTTCAGGACTCTTTGGGGTTGGCTGTAAAATGCTCGGGAAGGCCCTCCATCCCTCCAGCTTTGATAAACATGATAATGCTAAATTTGTTGCATCAGTCCAAAATTTCTCCTAATAGGTGTTTCAGTTGGACTTAAATAATATTATTATCATTTTCATGCGTATTAAACTGTTCAGTGACCCAGTGTGCCCTACAAATGGTTGCATTGTCATCCAACCCACCACCAACATAACCGAGCAACTTGATCCCCACACTATAGGGGAAAGAGGGTATGGTTTTTCCTTTTAAGCTGTTGCCTAACAGGACTGACTGAAACCCAGCATTGAATGCCTGTTTTGTAATTAGATCTCAAATCATTAGTCAGTTATTGGATCAGCAGAAAAATAATCCACAACCCGGTCCCTCAGCCACACACTGCCATATTCTGTCTTCTCTAAAATTCAGATTTGCTGGTATGAATGCTATTATAAATCACTGGTCAGTAAGGACAGTCTTTTTTGTGTCATCTTACAATTTATGACACTGAAACAACTGTTTTCTGTCATTTTATTGACTAAGGATGAGACTAGACTGCTAATAAATAAGTAAAAAATAACTGCTAGTCAAAATCCTAATGACATTAAATCTTGTTTGATATTAAGTGATTCATTTGTCTATAAAAAAAAGAAAAAAAAAGAAAGCAAAGAGCAATCCATTACTTGTTTTGTTGCAATAGTTGCAGACTCTTTCCAAACTTTCACCATAAATTGCTTTTTTTGCGTGATTTGGTCTAAATGGGGGTGTGTTGCTGACTGGGTTTCCGAGAAGCTCGAGCACCATGACTGAGTCCTTGTTAGTGGGAGTCATCTGACGGGATTCATGTGTTTAGGATTCTTGAGCTCATGAGTCATTACGTCACAACTATTGCATTGCCTAAAATGGGGAAGACCATATGTATCAGAGGCCTGTTCTGAGTAGCTCTGTGTTATGAGGCTAACTAAATATTGTTGACTTTCAAGCGTGATTCATAAAACATGCCTCTGAAATTCAGCCTAGCAGATGAGTGCCAAGTTAACAAGCAGTGGAACACTTACTGTGCCTCAGTTCCACCCCACCATCGAATGATGTGTAATAAAGTCAATAGCTGCACTCCACTGTGAACAGCGGCACTTGTGATCGCTGGAATTCCAAAATTCCTTCATGTCCAAACTTCCTGTCCTTATTTAGTATGAGAGACAGAGAGGGAGGTACGTGGAGATGTGAAGTGAACTGGAAGTAAACCAGCATGCACAAAACAGAGCCAAACAGACAGACTGACCTATTAACTACAGTCCCCACCACCACCACCACCCCCCCCCCCCCACCACCCCCCCACGACCCCCTCCACGACCTCCCTCCAGATATACACAAACACACACAAGATCCGGTCTGCTGTGTGCATCACGAGAGAACTTGCAGTGGCTATTATTCACCGGTCTGTCAGTGTGTATTTTTCCTGTCTGTGTCCCTTTCTGTCACAGCAAAGAAAAGGGAGGCAGTCAGCCATGTTATTCAAATGTTCCAGAGCCCGGCCAGCCAGCGGCCAACTGTAGCCGGGCTAAAAAGAGGCTCTTTGTGAAGGCCAGACAGATGGCTATAGAATGAAGACTGTAATGATACCCTCAACAGCGCAATACACACAGAGGCCCATGCACTCATTACACAGTCCACTCATTACAGCATGTAATACCGTGTGTTAAAGGCACACCAAACTGTGTAAGTGTTTGTGAGTAAGAGAGAGAAAGAAGGAGA